TCTTACGTGGTTAGAAATAAATATTTAAGTAAGCCGCAGTTCATTCCAATTCGCACGCCGGTCAAGCCAGTCAAACGGGCGCTGTTGATTGGATCACGTCGGCCATTGTCAAGAAAATATAAACTCCACACACGTGTAAGTAAAATGTGTATGCGTACACAACTCGACAGAGAGAGAGAGAGAGAGAGAGAGAGAGAGAGAGAGAGAGAGAGAGAGAGAGAGAGAGAGAATGTCTCGCTCCCTATTGTTGCGTCCCGTGTAGCGTCGTCCTCGCCTCGTCTCCTGTTTTTTCTCATACCACGAAACTTCAATTAATAATGTGGCATTGTTGTTAATTGCGTGTCTCGGCGGCGGGGAGCCAATTATTGCCAGGAACACAAGACGGTTTCCAAGGCCGCTGTCGCCTCTCGCCGCCTCATCATCTCGACTCGAATTGTTCACTCGTTCGCTCGTTCGGTGGTTCGTTCGCTCGTTCGGTGGTTCGTTCACTCGTTCGCTCATTCGGTGGTTCATTCACTCGTTCACTCGTTCTCTCCTTCAGGTTTCGGTTAGGGATTCGACTCTGCGCTTCAATCCTCCGAGCTGAGGGCTGAAGTGAAGCTCGATGTCTTGAAAAGGATATTTGCAAGTTTTTACGTATGATTCCCCCCCCCCCTCCCCCTCTTTTCTCCCTCTTCTTTCGTCTTAAGAAGTTTTTTCTTAACCGAGCGTTGCGAAACACAGCAACAACGGATTAGGTTATGGAGGCTTTGGGAGGCTTTCTGCTAATCCGATTAGTGCCTCTGCTTCTGATTGTGTCCCTCTTTTTTTCCCTCTCCTTCATTTGTCTCTTCTCTCCGTGCTCCTTCTCTTCTCTTTCTGATTATTCTATTCGTATATTTCGTGTTTTTTTTTTCTTTTTTTTCTTTATCTTTTTCTTTAGTTGTGATCGATACTCGTACGACATTTTCTGCTGCATTTTATTCTCTTTATTTTTCCTTTCCGTTGTGAGTGGATGGCCATGACGTATCGTTAACCTAAGTCTGGTTAGCGCTGTGCGAATAACACCGTTGCGTTTCAAATGATTATCTTTACCGACCTCTCGACATTGATATCATTCATCAACTTGTCGGTTATCTTCGCTCCGGCTAAGGAAAAAAAAAAAAGTATTGTGAAATGATTTTTCTCTTCTCCATATGCATTTTCTTTCCTGGTATATTTGTATATTTTGCTCCACCAATTCTTTTCTTTCTCTCTCTCTCTCTCTCTCTCTCTCTCTCTCTCTCTCTCTCTCTCTCTCTCTCTCTCTCTCTCTCTCGTCCTTCGTTTCTTCGTTTCTTCGTTTCTTCGTTTCTTCTTCATTTTCATCATCCCTTTTTGCTTTTCCAATTTTCCCTCCATCGTAACCCGACATTGGCTTAACCCGAAGGCCTCGATATAACGTACAGAAAACGCCCCGACATCGACGCAAAATTCTATCATGACAGTACTTTAAAGCCTCGGGGAATCTCCGCCTCGATCCCGTGATGTTTGTGTATTTTGTTCATCCTCCATAATCACCCATCTCCGAAACACCCCCTTTAAACTCCGAGCTTATTACCATTTTCTCCTCTTCTTTGGCTTCTCTCGTAATGATACATAATTTGGCTCTTAAACTCCACCGTGTCCGAAATCCCCATCCCCCCACCCCCCCTTTGGACGACAAGACGATATCGCGTAATCAAATTACACCGTGGAGAGATTACCGACATTACACGAGCTCATATACACCGCCCGTGTAATCTGCATTCGAAACCCTGCATTGACGCCCGCGATGCCCGCTGCTGGCTGTGTGTGTGTGTGTGTGTGTGTGTGTGTGTGTGTGTGTGTGTGTGTGTGTGTGTGTGTGTGTGTGTGTGTGTTGTGTGGGGTGATTGCTTTTGAAATTCCCGGGCGTGTGTTGGTGTGGGTGGGTGAGGGCCGCCTCGTTGTGGTGCGGTCTGTAATTTTCTACTCGGTTAGGGAGGGAGAGATAGACAGATAGACAGACAGATAGATAGAAAGACAGATAGACAGACAGATAGACAGACAAATAGATAGACAGACAGATAGATAGAAAGACAGATAGACAGACAGACAGATAAACAGATAGATAGACAGACAGATAGACTGATAGACACATAGATAGACAGACAGACAAATAGACAGGCAGGTAGGTAGATAGATAGAAATTAGATAGACATAAATAGGAGAAAGAGAAATGAACCAGAATACCTAGAAAAATAACAGTTCCTTTCATGTCCCCACATCACCATAGCAATAAAATAAATTCACACAATAAACCCCACATCCTCACACTCAACCCCCCCCCCTTTTTTTTCTCTCCTGCAGGGGGAGAACCTCTCCGACGTCCTTCCCGGAGAGCTGTACACCCGCCTGAAGCGTCACCTCGCGTACGTCAAGTCCCAGATGCCTCGCTGGATGACGCCGGACCAGCGCGGGCGAGGACTGTACGCTGACTACCTCTTTAACGCCATCACCGGTGAGTACATTGTGTGTGTATGTGTGTGTGTGTGTGTGTGGGTGGGTGTGTGGGTGGGTGTGTAGAGGGTGGGGGTTCGTATGGGGTGAAGGCTTGAGACTGGGGAAGCTGGGTTTAGGGCGTTTTTGGGTTGATGGGTTGCATGAATACGTTATTGAAGGCGCAGTGGTAGCGTTCTCGTCTAGCGATCGTGCTGACCTGCGTTCAAATCCCACGCCGCCTGTGGTATGGTGTGGCAGCCTGTCACACCATACGTAAAGAATAATCCTTCTAACAAATGGAATATATATCTCTTTATATCTGCCAGCGCATGACTGGAGTCCACAATAAGGAAAAAAAAAAGATACAAATGACAGTATCACAGCCTCTTCTTCCTCGTGTGATCGAACTCAAATCTGACCGATCTTCCAAAGAGGCGGAAACCGAATTTTCAAGACATGTGTGTTCGTCCCCCCCCCCCCGCAACTGTTATTATTGTTACTGTGCGGAATACACCAATTTCTCAAAGGCCATGATTATCATTTCAGAATATGTACTTACAAAAAAAAGTAAATCACGAAGTTGTCATTGCTTTTTTTTGTGTGTGTGTGTGTGGGGGGGGGGGATTCGAGATAGAAGAAAAAGAAAAAAAAAATTGTGGCCTCAAGAATCAGATTGATGTGTGGGAATGAGCGAGATTCGTGAACCCAAGGGCAGTGATAAACACGTGATAAATCTCCCTTGAATTAAAGGGGGGGGAGGGGGAAATGGACACGAAGTATCGATAAATTGTTCGGAGGCGAGATCGGGCGGGGATTTCGACGCTGCGGTGAGGAGTGATCCAGAAACATGGGGGGGGGGGGGGGTGGAGATTAGTTCGTTATGGAGCGTACGCGTAGACAAATGAGCGCGTGCACATGTACTTCTTAACAAACGCACTTACGCACACACACACACACACACACACACACACACACACACACACACACACACACACACACACACACACTCCGACTCCCTCTCCCTCTCTCTCCCTCCTTCATTCCCTCCCTCCCTCCTTCCCCCTCTCATCCCCCCTCCCTCCCTCCCTCCCTCCCTCCTTCCCCCTCTCATCCCCCCTCCCTCCCTTCTTCCCTTCCTCCCTCCCTCCCCCCCTCCCTCCCCCATGAAAACACACAAATGCACAAAAAAAATGTTCTTTTTTCTCTCTCGCCCGTGAACAAAGACCACCTCGTCGGGCATATGTAAATCAGAGTCCGGGGGTTTTGGTCACACGCGACAAATCGAGAGAGGGGGGGGGGGGAGCCTTCGTCTGTTTTGAGTGTAAAGAGAGAAAAATAAGACACATCATAAAATCGAAATTGTTTTTTTTTGTTTTTTTTTTGTTTTTCTTTTTCTTTCTTTCTTTCTCTCGTTCGTTTTCTTTTCTTTCTTTGTTTTTCTTTCTTTCTGTCTTTCTTCCATTTTCTTTTTTTCTCTCATTCTCTTTCTTTCTTTTTTCTTTCTTTTTTTCTTTATTTATTTTTCCTTTCATTCATTTTTTCTTTCTTTCTTTCCTTCCTTCTCTCTTTCTTTATTTTTCTCGAGTCTCCTTGTCCACCTGTCTGCTTCTCATATATCAATATCTTTATTTATTCACTGTTTATTGCTTGGCGTGTCTATTCTCTCTCTTTTTTCCCCTTCTTTCTTCTCTTCCTCTTGTATTTACCTCAATTTTTACCCTAACCGATTACTTTTTATCTTTACCCAAATCTTTATCGCATTCCTTGCCTTCACACAAATCTCTAGCCCGTTGTTCTTACTTTACGCTTGCTCTTACCTACAGCCATTTTCCTTCATTACCTACCTCCACCCTTAATATTCTTGCCTTTGTCGCCATTTACCTTCCTCCTCCTCCATTTCTCTATTCTTAACTTTTCTCTCTTACCCCTTTCCCTTGCCTATGCCTTAACCCCTTGGTATGACGTGTACGTACGTGCTATGCCCACAGTGAGTACTTGTTTGATTGTTTTTACGCATAGATGGCAACACTTGTACTAACTCCCCAATGAGCCAGTTCCGAGCACCGCCCGTCTCGCCCGTTTACCCGTTTCATTGATTTACAAAATATTTTACGTAATCTTATTTTGCTGTTACTAATGTTAAAAAACATTGTAAAAATTATAATGTTTATGATAAAAATAACACCATCGATTTTCATAGCACAAGTGAAAAATACGTTTTTTCCTGCCATTTAAATCAGTCGCTAGCAGAACCATCTATCGGCAAACATTTCACGAAAAACATAGAAAGTGGGCACAATATTTTCCCCATTTTTTGTTCATTTTCCCCGGCACCATTGGGTTAATCCCCTACCTTTGACTATTTTCATTACCCCTTACCTTGATTTTTAACATTCGCTGCCTCCATGCTTACCTTTTACCTTTATCTCTTAGTCTTAACTTCTCTCGTTCTTACGCTTTACGCTTTACCTTTTATCCATGCTGTCTTATTCTTATCTCCTATTCTTTATTTCTCTCGTTCTTACCCCTTTACCCTTAATCTTAATTTTTCACCTTTGCCCCTTACCATTGCCCCTTACCCTAGTCCTATACCCTTACCTTTACCCTTACCCTTGCCCATTGTCCTTTACCCTTATCCCTTACCCCTTACCCTTGCCTTTTCCCTTGGCCTTTTACCCTTGCCCTTACTCTTTCCCTTTACCCTTTACCCTTTACCCTTTACCCTTTAGCCTATTCTTAACTCCCCTTATCTTTACCTTCCACCATTTCCCCTTATCCTCCCCTATCCCTAACTTCCATTCTTACTTCTTATCTTTACTTCCATTCCTTAGTTCTTATCCTTACCCTTATCCCCCCCTCACCAATACCCCCTCACCCCCCTTACCCCTTCATACACCCCCCCTTATACCTCCCTCACCCCCTTCATACTCCCTAATTCCCTCATACACCCCCCCCTATCCCCCTCATATCCCCCTCACTCCCCTCATACACCCCTCACCCCCCCTTATCCCCTCATATCCCCCTTACCCCCCCTACACCCCTCCTTATACCCCCCTCACCCCCCTCATACACCCCCTTACCCCCCCTCATATCCCCCTTACCCCCCCTCATACACCCCTCCTTATACCCCCTTATCCCCTCCTTATACCCTCCTTATACCCCCTTACCCCCTCATACCCCCCTTACCCCCCTACCCCACTTCTTATACCCCCCATATCCCCCCATATCCCCTCATACCCGCGAGCGACACTTGACACATGGCAAACTATTACGCTTCGTTTGCTCACGTCATCGTCAATTCGATGCGCTTTCTTTTCTATTTTTTTTTCTGTTTTTTTTTTTTCTTTTTTTTCTTTTTTTTTCCTTCCAAGATGACCTCAGGGATTGCCCCGGGCGATGTATGGGAGGGAGAGGGAGGGAGGGGAGGAGGGGGGGAAGGGGAGGAGAAGGGGAGGAGAAGGGGGGGAGAGGGAGGGAGGAGGATAGGGAATGATGGAAGGAGGAGGGAGGGAGGGAGGGAGGAGGGGGGGAAGGGGAGGAGGTGAATAGGTATGAGAAGAAGGGGGGGAAGAGAGGGAGGGATGAAGATAGGGAAGGAGGGAAGAAGGAGGAGGGAGGGAGGGAGGGGGAGAGAAGGGAGAGAAAATGAGGGAGTGGAAGAAAAGGAGGGAGGGAAGGGGAGGGAGGGTAGTAAGGGAGAGGCGGGAAGGTAGATAGAATGAAAGGAGGGGGAAAGGAGGGAGTGGAGGAGGAGCAAAGAGGAGAGGGAAAGGGAGGAAGAGCGAAGAGAAAGGAAGGAAAAGAAGAGTGAACAAGGGAGAGGGAGGGAGAATGAAAAAGGAGAGACCGCGAGGAAGAGAGAGGGAGGTGGAGAAAGAAGAGAAAGAGAAAACTGAGGAAGGAAGGAATAGAGAGTGAGAGAGTGAGAGAAAGAGAAAGAGAGAGAGACAGACAGACAGTGACAGAGCGATAAAGAGAAATAAATAGAAATAAATAAACAAACGAAGAGACAGACAGACAAAGGAAACTTACACAAGGTAGACTCCTTTTTCTCTGTGGTCTTATTCGTCATTTTTATCAGCGTGTCTCTGTGCCATAATTCTTCTGCCTGTCTAGTGAGTGGATGATGAGGGCGGAGTGGGCGTGTTGCCTTAATGGTTTGCTTGTTCTACTGTATTATATATATATATATATATATATATATATATATATATATATATATATATATATATATATATATATATATATATATATATACACATACATACATATACATATACATACATATATACATACCTACATACACATATATAAACATACACACATCTCATCCACATCTTCATACATCAACACATATATACAGATATGCATATAGATAGATAGTTATAGATACACACACACACACACACACACACACACACACACACACACACACACACACACATACACACACACACACACACACAGACACACACACACAAACACACATATATATATGTGTGTGTGTGTATGTTTGTGTGTGTATGTATATATATGTGTATATATATGTATATATATATGTATATACATGTATAAGTATGTATATGTGTGTATATATGTATATACATGTATAAGTATGTATATATGTATATATGTATATACATGTATATATGTATATATGTATATACATGTATATATGTATATATGTATATACATGTATGTATGCACACACACACGCACACACACACACACGCACACACACACGCACACACACACACACACACACACACACACACACACACACACACACACACACACACACACACACACACACACATGTATATGTATGTATATATATATAATGTTTGTATGTATGTATATAAGTATGAATATGTATGTATATATATATATTTATATATATGTGTGCGTGTGTTATTTATAAAACCCATCGACCATCGACCTCTCGCACACGCATCGACTTATCCCCTTCCCCCCCTACACCCCACCCCTTTATACCCCCCTCCCCCTTCCAATCAACCT